TTTTTTTTGTACTGTAAAGTTCAAATTGTAGAACACTGTTTTCATTTAAATGCTTTCGAAATTACTGAAACAGAAGAGTGGGGACTTGTAAGTCACAAAAGTCTTCTTGATTATCGAGTACAAAATGTGCACACTATGTCCGATTTGAAACATTATGTATCTTCGAATTTTATTTATGACAAACAAATGATTGAAGACAAATAAAAGCTTTTTTATAATATTTCAATCTGTTTTTATTTAACAAAATTAACAACGTATAACATTTAATTAACGAGACAAAGAGATATGTATCACTTTGTCTCGTTAATTAAATGTTATATGTTGTTAATTCTAATTTTGCTTCGAGATATGCATTTTTAGATCAAATAAATATCCTCTTTACGGAAATAAGTATTTACTTGAAAATGCAAAGCCATTTCATTTGTCGAATTGAAATTAAGTTAATAATGCCTTCGTTTCATTAAATATTATGTTGCTTCAGGAAATTCACATCTTACTTCAAGTTATGCAATTCTAGTGGAATGTTGTATTCCATTGCAAATATAAAAGACTCTTGAATAGAAAGATAAATTTATCTTTCTATTGAAAGATAAATTTATCTTTCTATTCAAGAGTCTTTTATATTTGCAATGGAATACAACATTCCACTAGAATTGCATAACTTGAAGTAAGATGTGAATTTCCTGAAGCAACATAATATTTAATGAAACGAAGGCATTATTAACTCAATTTCAATTCGACAAATGAAATGGCTTTGCATTTTCAAGTAAATACTTATTTCCGTAAAGAGGATATTTATTTGATCTAAAAATGCATATCTCGAAGCAAAATTAGAATTAACAACATATAACATTTAATTAACGAGACAAAGTGATACATATCTCTTTGTCTCGTTAATTAAATGTTATACGTTGTTAATTTTGTTAAATAAAAACAGATTGAAATATTATAAAAAAGCTTTTATTTGTCTTCAATCATTTGTTTGTCATAAATAAAATTCGAAGATACATAATGTTTCAAATCGGACATAGTGTGCACATTTTGTACTCGATAATCAAGAAGACTTTTGTGACTTACAAGTCCCCACTCTTCTGTTTCAGTAATTTCGAAAGCATTTAAATGAAAACAGTGTTCTACAATTTGAACTTTACAGTACAAAAAAAAAATTTCTTTTTCAGAGCTGATTATTATAAATTTTATTTTACCGAGAGAAACATCAAAGTAATTTTTATTATAATTAATAATGTTACTTACTTCATAGCGCGTACCATTCATTCTAATCCAAGAGTAGCAGTTATAATCAAAAAAATTATGTGAAGGTAAATATTTTTTAAAACTTTCAAATTGACTTGTGAATCTAATTTTTACAAATGGAGTACTACAAGAAAGATAATCAGAAAATCCAATATTATGTACTATTCTATGACAAAACTGTAATTGATGCTTTACTGCTAAACTGTACGAAGGATTTTTACGACCACTGATAATTTTACTAGTTTCTTTTATTTGCTTGTGCTTGGCTTCATAACGCATACTGGACATACTTTTGAGTGGACCAAATGCACGCATAATTCGGGGATAATGTAGCAGAATATGATGTTTAAATTTCAAGTTACATTTAAATAATTGTTTATAAGATGTTAGGTATTGGACAACTGATTCTTCAAAATTTTCAATAATTTCTTCGTTAATAACATCTGCTGTTGCTATACACATAATTTTACACATTATTAAATATAATTGCCAATATCTATTATTACTTTTAATTAAATCACCAACGAACAGACCGAGATTTTTTACTAAATAATGCATTTCAGATGCTGATAATATAATTAGTTCTTTTTTAATTGATTCTGATTGTAAAGGTGGTGGAACATTAGAGTCGAAAGCGTGATTGAAACAGTTAATTCTTTCGTTTAAAGTATCTAAAGTAAAAAACTTCTCTTTATTAATCAAATTATTTAAAATTTTAGCCAAATCGTACCTACATATCCCTTCAAGTAAATCGTGCATTGGATCCACTGAAAAATTTTGAGTTATGTGATAATTTGGTATTACGTGAAATACGCAATTTTCTTTAATTCCAAAGGTTTTTTCACTGTAATGTGTAAAGTAGTTTTCTTTTGTTCTTAACATTTCTGGTATTTCTTTGTTTTGTTTCTTTAATTCATTTTTAGGAATTGTACAAATTCGACAACAGTGTGAAGAATTAAAACTTTTTGAGAAACCAAGAACTGTATTTACTCCTAAATTGTCACCTACTATATAAGTTAAAACGAAAAAAATTTTCTTTTCCTCTCCATCAATGTTAATAATAATTCCATTATTTTGAAGATCAATGATTTGCTCTATAATGAATTAAAAAATTTTTTCATTTCCTAAAGTGCTGTGATCCTGAGAATTATGTAATTGGTATAAAAATATATTTTCTAATTTACTAACATATTCCGTGGGCAAAATTGGAATAGAGCAGTACACTGCTCCAATTTTATTGATGATTCTATGGGTCCCTAAGGGATTATTAATTTCGATATCGTCAAAATACAAAACTAAAGGAAAAATAATTTTATCAGCTTGATTAGCTATAGTCATTTTCCAAAAATCACCTTTGATTATGGAATTAATGACCAAACTTTTATTACATTTTTGTATATACTCCATTATTGCAGAAAAAACCTTTGGCAGCTCTAAAAATTTTTTTAACACCAATTTTATAGGTATTATATTCAATGTACTTTTATGGATTATGAAACGTCTTTTACCTTTTAATTTACTATATTTTAAAAAGGATTTAATAATGATTTTTTGCGGCGGAAAAAAACAATTAATTTGTTTCAAAAATGTGAACGTCAAATATTCAGTTCTAAATGTGTTAAAACCATTTTTCATCACGTCTAGCATATTATTTAATTCAATATTATTTGAAAATTTACATTTTAAAAAATCTAAACAATTATTTATGTACGTCGTACACATGTCAATAATAATTTTATGAATTATTTTTCTATTTAAACTTCCATAGGCATACAGCTGCGTAACCAAGCAGAGAGCAAAATTAAAAACTTTACTTTGAAAATTATCAATAGTGAGTTCTTCGTTACTATATAAGGCTTCCAGTAGATGTTTGTCTTTCAGTAACTCATTCGGAATATTTAAATGTTGTGGTACTGCATTTGTTTCTTGAGTTAAATCTACAATATTATTGTTCAAGTTATTTGGTACTTTAACTATTTCATAAGGTAATGATTTTTTGGACAGTTTTTGCACACAATGTTTATTTTTTATATGTCTTATTAATGAATGAACACAAGTGAATTTGTAAAAACAATTTGTAAAATTGCATTGTATCTCATAATTCATTAATGCTTTATGTTTTAGTTTTACGTGGCTTATTAAAGACTCTAACGATAAAAATGAATGGACACAGAAGAAGCAAGAGAACATTATTAACGCAAACTTAAAATGTATCGTACTAAATTATTTTTTAATACAGTAGTTAAATGAATTATTGATATATCAAATCAATAAACAAAAAAATATGTCGATAATTTCTTCACTTACCGCAGTCTAATAATAATATTAAAGCCGAAAAAAATTACAGAGTATTTTTAATCAACGCAAATTGTAGTATATTAGTTTGTTTTTAAATATATAGTAACTAATGACTTTTACAAGCACTAATGACTTTTAAATGTGTCAAAATATTGAACACAAAATAATTATAAAAGAAATAAAATTTTTCGTATAGTTAATGGGAAGCTAAGAAAGCAATTGTTATATTACTAATTATATAATAGTAAAAATAAATGTTTACACATAAATAAACATACTAGTTACAATACGCGCGCAGAAAAACCAATACAAAATTTTCGTTATATTCGCTTTGGTTTTAGTTTAAAATAAATGTTACTTGTTCCAATCCGACGTTTGCTCCTCGGCAGTATTCCTTTGAGTGAACTGCTTGAGCACATATTCAATAGATGTGATATGCACATCAGAGGGTAAATTGATATTGTAGAGTCCTTTTTGTATTAATATCCATAAATGCTGGCTGGCTAAAGGATATTGAAGGTCGAATACATGAAAAGTCTTGAAGCAGATGTCTAAGCCTTGTAGAACTCCTTGAACTTTATACAACTCATTATCCACACAGACATAAACGTCTTGTATATCTTCAATAGATCCCACAATGATCAAGAAAGGCTGGATTGGAAGTTTCAGATCTGCCGCTCTTGATTTTGTTTCTTGCCTAAGTCTCACCATGTCACCAGGAATCTATTACAAATTTATAAATACTTGTAAATTTATATATTATATATATAATAAAGATAATTTTATTTAAAAAGATGTATTGAAATGAACGTTTATTAATTCACTTACAAGGGACGTTTCAATAAAATAATTTTTTATCTGAATCGTCAATATTATTACAGTAAAGATATCATTTAAAATTACAAAATTTTTAAATAAAGATTAAAATTAATATAATTTTATTGTAACGAAAAATTATTATAATTAATATCATTTAAAATTACAAAATAAAGATTCTTAATATTGTTTACAAAATTTTGTTATATATAGAGGAACGCCCCTATTACGAGATAGACGCCTAATATGAGATAGCGGCGTTTGTCCTAAACTGTAATCTATTGTATAATAAACGCTATCTATTGGTTCCACCATAAATGTATTACTCTTGGGGATTGAAAACTATTTAGTGGAAAATTCATTATTAGATCATACCTGCAGTCGTAGTAAAAAAAAGATTTGAGAATTTGAATATCTTTTTTTTTTTTTCAAGTTTCATTGAGATGAGCCTTTAAACCTTGTTTATTATTTTATAAGTAAATATTTGGCAATAAATTCTTCATGTAATAATAGAGTAAGATCGTACTAATAGAAGAATATGGGATATGTTGAATTAGTTAATTACAGTAGTTAGATTTGATGATCATAAAACCGTAAGGCAATCGTAATATAAGATAACCAGGATATTTCTAATATGAAATAACCTATGCTCCCATATCACAGTCAAAATCGTTGGTAAAGTATAAATGTTATCGTACAATAATAAAGAGGGCAATCGGAATGAACATCGAGTGCTTGGTTCTGCTTAGTTCCAACTACCTGAAGACAAGTCCTGAGTATTACTCATTTAGTGCGCATAATGGCTGTGTTTATTGTATTTTACAAACATTAAATAAAGCTCTTTAATGGCAATACTGATGTACTTTGCATTTTATCATTGATTTCTTTGGGCATCTCATATTTAGGAGCACAATTTTTTAACTTTGCGATTTGCTCACTTTTTACATTTCTTTCAAATTTTCAAAAGAATAGAATTTGAATTAAATTTTACATAACATTGTCTCAAAGCTTATTAAATTCCCTTCAGAATGACCTATTATTTTTTTAAATTCTGCCCATAGACTTCTAGCATTTATCCAAAATGAACTCGGTACCTCGTAATAGGGGCCTCTCTTCTATAAGAAATAGATGCATACTAACATTTGCAAATTTTAACAAACTATCTTTTGCGAGTCCGATTGATGGCTTGAAGTTTTTGTTTTTAATCCTTTTCATTTGTCTTGGTGGATACAAGTGAGGAAGTAAACTAAGACTCATGGCTACCATTGAATCTATATAATATAAATAAAAAAGTGAAAATCTAAAAACATTAAATAATTCAGTATATATTTTTATAAATAAATTTCATGTTTTCACCATCTGAAACATCTTTAGACTTCATTGTTTCTATTAGCTTCTTTGCTGTTTCATCTTTTGAACTATAAGAGGCATGCTGCCGCAAAGTATAAAAAAATTTGAACCAAACATCTTTATCCAAATTCACTTTAGATAAGTTTAAGCATTGAAAATCAACATCAATTAATTCATGTCCACTAGGATGCTTATACAGTTTCCATGTTTCGAATATATCCACCAGATTTTCATCTGTTGATTGTTTTAACGCTTTCGTTCGATGAGCAGAAGTTTTTTTCCAATGCTCTAAAACCAGATTCCATGGAGCTTGATTGGTTTCTAACCACTCCAGGGCATCTTTAATATTATCTTCTATGGTCTCTGTCAAATGTTATAAGCATAAAAATTGTATTATTTTAAAATAATTATGATGGAAGTTTTCAATGTCAAAGCCAAAATAAGACGATTAAATAAAAAATAGGTTTTTTAGGTAAAACAAAAAAGAGAGTTCTTATAGCTTATATTGCTTATAACTTTTAGTTAAAATAAACTGACTTTCTTTGTAATTTTTGAGGAAGCACAGATTAAATTTTTTATTTAATATTATCTAATGTACAGGATGTTAAAACAAAATTATTCAGCATTTATTTGGTAGATAGTATACACACCGTACTGAATAAAAAAACCGTAGTTTGTTTATATCTCAGAAACCGTTAAACTTTCAACTTACGTTCACTAAGGCTTTTTTATTCAATATGGTGTATACTATCTAGCATATAAATGTTGAATAGTTTTTTTAACACTCTGTATAAAAGAAATTTTTTGTTCACTAGAATAAAATTATATAAAACAGAAAAGTATAAATCAATTTCTATAAGAATACAATGTATCTGTTTTCTTCTTAAAAAATATTTGTTGCAAATAAAAATCAATTTTAATTTAGACTCAAAAGTCCAGGCTTTAACCCAGGTTATTCCTACATTTGTTTATACAAAGATTTACCGGGCTCAGTGCTGTCATCACTTGCAGTTTCTTCAAGTCTTACTTTTAATTGCAATTTCTTATATTGGCATTGACGGTTTCGCCATGTACTCATCAATTTCCCACGAGCAGGTATAGATTTATTATTAAAAGAATCTTTTTTTGCAATTGGTGCTATATAGTACGTTTTTGCTGATTCTGATGGGAAGATATCAACAATCATTTTAACGATCATGTCTGCTAGCGCGTTATCCAATCTACAAATAGAAATAAAAATGAAAATATGTAACCTATCCAAGAATTTGCCTCTTTAGGTGAAACTCTATTAAACAAGTTAAAATTGATATTTTACTACAATTTTGTTTAATAATTTTCATTATGTTTCTTTTTTATTGTTGAAAATAGACGAATCTCAATATGCTCTTAAAACTTTTCCTTCGAATGTCAGTAGAGAAGCATCTAGAATTTTTTTTCTTAAATAGCCTTAATAAAAAATGTTTGATTTAGGATTTTCAAGTCATTATTTTGTTAAAAATTTAAATTAAAACTGTAAAATTGTCCAAAACTTTATTTGAATTGCTGCAAGGTCATCAGTTTTGAAAATTTCTATGGTCTTAAAATGTGTCTTCAATTATAAATATTTAAAAAATGCGATAAAAGAAATTGATTTTTGGCTAAAAATTAGTAGAGTTCCACCTTAATTTAATATATATTTTTTCAACCATATTTAACCTTATTGATCGATTTTCCAAATCTGTCACAATTATGTGACACATTTTATTCCTATGTATATCATATATAAAGTTATTCTTTCGAAACGAGGCTAAAATTTCGTTTCCCATCATAGATTCCATGAGTAGGTCCTTCAGAGGCTTCACTAATTGTTTAGTATTAATATTGCTATGTGAAATCTTACTAAATAAAATATTGACACAACTTGAATTATCTGGCGAATTTTGATTATCTGGTGCTCTTTTAACTGGGTTCGTTGGACTATTGGATGTCATAGAATCATCATCTCTTTTCTGTACATATAAATTTTTCGAAAGAAATTATAGAATTTAATTTAATAATTTTATGATTTTTATATAAGAGCGGGTAAAAGTGAAAATAGTATGTAATACTTGAAGGTAATGTATAGTTCTAATGTTTTGCATATCACACACATTTACAAGTTTCAAATAGAAGATTTTCATTTATTGCATATTTTTTGAAAGAACAAAACTTTTAGCCACTTCTTTTGTATTTACTATAACTTCACAATACTTTTAAACAATTGATAACCGTATATTATCACATTAAAAAGGATTGTTTTTTTTTCAATAATTACAAATTATTCACTTTATCCCATAATCCAGGTTAAAAAATAATTCTTAAAAACTGTAACTTACTCTTTTATTATTTACATGATGATCGTTATTTTTATCAGATTCACCTTCGCCAAAATATTTACGCCAATAATTAAGGAATATGGCTCTCTCACCAATAATAGGTATAAGATCATTTATCAATGCTTCAGACATTAATTTTAAGACATCCATGGTGATTTTATTTTCTAAAAATTTAATTTTGAATTATTCATATAATCACATGATGTTAAATTAAAACTCGGATATGTGAAAAATTCAATACAAAATTTTAAAAAGGATTTTCACAAAAATTTTAACAAAAATTTTAACAAGGAAATTCATATTTATAGAAATTTTTCCGTCAGAGACATTTGTGTCTCGGTGCGTACATCGGTAACAATTCTAAAATAATAATACTCGTCAGGCATTTTTACTTCGAGCATTTAGGAATTCTTTCACTTAAATTCTATTTTGATTCCATATTAATCGGCCGCTAACTTCAATCATGTAAATATACCAAAAACAAAACTTACTTTCAAAGTTTTCCATCAGATTAGCCAATTGTAGATCGTGTAACAGTTTTCTAACTTCTTCATCAGCCATGATGAAAGTGACGAATACTTCCACTGCCGAAACTGAACTCTCTTCGCTGCGAAACTGTGTAGGCACTTCACATTAAGTTATTAAGGCAACAGTAATTCTGAAGAGATTGCACATATTTTCGGGCTTACGCCCAGATCGTTTGTTCGCGACTTTCTGATGTCTATCACACTCGCGAATTTCTATAATCTGAAAATCTGACGATCACTTGCGTCGTCTTGGTAACAAGCCGATCGGGCCCATTCGGTTCACATCGCAACGCGATCGTGCCTTCCTCGCTCTCGAAGCGTCGCGTGGCGCCGCGAGTCGCGAGGCGTCGCGCGAGTCGTGCCTTCGAGATTTTTCGCTATCTTTCGCTATACAATACGAAAAGTATGTTGTTGGTTTAAAAAAGCTTATATATATAGATAAGGACAATTGCTTCCTTAGAGTAAGTGAATAATTTGTAAAAATATTAATACTAAGAAATGTATTTTCTATGATTGAAACAAGTATTCCTAACTCGAAATTAACGATTACTTACATTCAAGTAAATATGTTGTACACATATTTGTAGATACTAATATATATCTTCTAGAATTGAAATAAATATATTCTAAATCGAAATTAACGATTACTTTCATTTAAGTAAATATATTTTATACATATTTATAGATACTAAGTAATTTGTTTACTGCATAAGAATAAATATTTTCTATTCCAAAATTATTGATATCTTTGCTTCAAGTAAATATTTATTTACCAATAACAAAGAAATATATTCTTCGTTGTAAAACACCAACGCTTTGGTCCAACTTGACATCCTCTTCGAATAAATAAATGATTTAGTTATTGATTTTTCAAAAATCAAAGTGTTCGTTTTTTTCACTCAAAGTAATATTTACTTTCATCAAGTAAATATATGCTTCAAATATTTAATAAAGTTAAGATATGTTTTAGTAAATAAAAAACTTAAGTGAAATAAAAATTTAGTACAACAAAATTAATATTTCTTTATTGTAAGTAATTAATTTCTTGTTTTTAGTGTCCCAATATTAGTACATTGGTTGTTAATAACGAAATAAATATTGTTTTGATTCAAGTAATTCAAAAATTGATTTTAAACAAATATTTATTTAAAATTGGCTACTACTTTTAAATAAATACAATTTTTACATCTAAGAACATCATTTCTTAGTTTTAAAGAAATATTACTAGATTCAAAAGCACGTTTTCTTAATGCGAGAAAATATTTATTAAGAATATGAATTAGTTGAAACCAAACAAATATTTTTTTGAAAGCACGAAAACTTGTTTGATTTAAATACATAATTACTTGGATCAAGTAAATGGAATTCACGTTAATATATTTACTTGAATCTAGTAAAATTTTTTCCCAGTGTA